GGGGGACGGGGGCGGTGGGGGGATGGACGGCTCCCTCCCGGGGCGGGCAGGAAGAAGGCGGGGAGAGGGTGCCGCCCAGCGCAAAGGTCGTGGTGTGGGGGCTCGCAGAGCCCAGCCCCCGGGCCACCATCTCACTGGGGCAGTTTCTGTCTGTGTCCTGGGACCTTGTGTGGGGTTTCCCTGGGAAGTGGCGTGTTTCTGCCCGTGGAAAAGGAGGGAAACCGCTGACTTCTCCCAAACCCCAGCTTGGCGGTAGGGAAGGCTCCAAAGAGGTGGCTTGGCCCTCCCGGAAGGCGAGGGAGGGCTGGGGCAGCGGGGGGAGCGCCCAAGAGGCCGAACTCGGTAGCTCTGCGGTTCCGGTCGGGGAGGAAAATCTGGTCCCTCTTCTTTTCCTGCTGGTTCCCTCGTGTAGTTGCAGTTCTCCGTACGGTTGCACAGTGAGAGCACTGCTCTCTGGTCTGGCGCGCTGAGTAGGCGCCGCTGCCCCCCTGTGCGCCAGGCACGGTGCAGGCCCCCTCGGGTCAGGATTGCACCGGCCGGATCGAGGCTGATTTTTCCGTGTCGCCCCCTCGCACGACAGTGGGGAAGGCCGGGCTGCTTCTCCGGCTCCTGGTTTCACGGGGGTCCGACCACTAACAGCACCCGCTCCGCTGTAATGGGAACACATGGTGGCCTGGGAGGAGTGGGTGTTGAATCAGCAGGTGCTCCAGAGTAGTCTCAGGGGACGCAACACCGGCCCAGGCATTTATTGGGCCCTTGCTGGATGCCAGGCACCATTCCACGTGCTTCCATGGGCCACCTGAATCGCTGCTCACAGCAGCCCTGTAAAGTAGGTGTGTTTTTTTGTGTGTGTCTTTTTTACATTTAGTTTTGAGAGAGAGAGAAGAAGCAGGGGAGGGTCAGAGAGAGGGAGACACAGAATCCTAAGCAGCTTCAGGCTCTGCGCTGACAGCACAGAGCCTGACACGGGACTTGAACCCATGGACCGCGAGATCGTGACCTGAGCGGAAGCCGGAAGCTTAACCGACTGAGCCACCCAGGCCTCCCGAAGTAGGTGTTCTTGTTGCCGTTTTGCAAGTGGGGGAAACCGGCCACTGGGGTGTGAGAAGACTCGCCCCAGAGGAAAGCTGATCTGGGCCAAACACTTTCTATCCGAGCTCAGACCCGAGAAGTGCGACTTTCGCCCCCAGGCCACGGAGGCCATCTTAAAAACGGCCCGCTCGGGTGTCAGGTGAGAGGTGATCCCCCTGCTCCAAACGGTTGCAGACGATGTGCTTCCGGTTCCGGGGGCTGGGGGGAGGGGGTCCCCAGGTGGCGGGCGGGGGGAGTGCAGGCCAGGGTCCCAGTAGGCCGAGTGAAGGTGGGTTGTGTAAGGTGGGAGAGAGAGCAGGCTGCCTGAAGCCGCTCGGCCGGCGGGAAGTGTTAAGTCACTGGCAGGTGATGGGGGGTGGGGGCAGCTATCCAGGCCCCGTGTCCGTGTCCGGGAGCTCAGGATTGAGGCTGAAGCCCAAGGTCGAGAAAGCGTGCGGCGCCCCCACCAGTGGGAGCCACTGCCTGCCTCCACGAAGCCGAATTTAGCACCTCAGTTCTGCTCATTACTGGGTGCTCGGTACTCGCCTATCAGACCTTCCGGAGCCCCGTGGCTGTGTGGGGTCACTGCCGTGGCCTCGGCGCCCACGTGTCAAGGGAGCAGGTGAGTTCACGCAGGGGTGTCTCTTGCCTCTGGGACTACAGCTCCTCCCCAGACACTTGGGCCACACTCGTTGCCCCCCCACCCCCCAGGATTCCAGGGGTGTCATCCGAGCAGTGTTTACAGGGAGGGGAGCGGAGCGTCCCAGCCTCGGGTTAAAGATAGCACGGGTCGGAATCACATCACAGCCTGGAAAGGGGAGGTGACCCTCCCTGGGACTGCTGGCACAGCAGGGTGCTAACTGCATGTCCCCGGAGAAGGGGGTGTGGAGTCCCGAGTTAGGTTTGGTGTCGCCCCGTGTGTTAGGCAAGACCCAGCCCAAATGTGGGCAACACTGGCACTCCTGGGGAGGGACCCCGGCACCTTTGCCCTCCGCGGGCTGTGGAAGAGACTCTGAGCCTCGGTGTTGAGTGGGACATTTGAGCTCCAGTGCAGCCTCCCCCTGCCCTGTGCCTTAATGCCCTCGATCAAAAGCTCCTCAAGCAGTAATTTTGATCGGATGGATGTCCCCTCCTCCACGCAGCCCTCCCAGATTGTTGAAAGCCTCTCAGCCATCCACTTCCCGCTGTGCACTTCCTTCCCAGACCACACGTATAACTTAACCCCTGAGATGACCCCTATTTGCTTCCTTATTTGTTCCTGTGTCCCCTTCCCTAGAACGTCAACCACACCAGCTCGTCCCCCTGCTGTGTCCCCAGCGCCTAGAAGAGGGGCTGACACCCGGTAGTTTGTTGCACGAATAAAGGAATTCACAGGGAGGCCCATGTGGCCCGATGGGGTGAGGGAGGAAGCTGCTGGGGGGCCCGGGGGGAGCACAGGCAGGTGGTTGGCGGCCCGTAGCCAGGGCGCTGGGCAGCCACTGCGGTTTCAAGCCAAGGGGAGATGCCGCCCGATGGAAGCCTGGAGGCCCCTGGCTGCAGCTGCAGGAACAGGCTGGGGGAGGGGGGTGCTGGCATAGAGGGCGCCCGGTGCCCGTGGGGCTTTCATGCTGCGGGTGGTGCGACGGAGCGCTTGCCACAGAGGCGTCAGGCCCCCAAGGTCGAGGGACCTACTGTGCCCTTCGCAGGAGGGGCACGCCAGCCCCTGGCCCAGGGCCCCACCGTAGGAAGCTGGAAAGTCAACCCAAAGCATGTGGAAATCGGTGAGACAGAAATGCACAAATGAGGGCTCCCGGAGCCAGGGGCCTGCGAGTCTGGGTCCCGAGGCCGCGAGGTCGAGCCCTACGTTGGGTGTCGAGATTACTGACCTTAAGAAAACTTCTAAAAAAGTTTTTGATGCACAACAGAGAAAAACCAGTGAACCCCAAAGCTGGTCCTTTTATTTATTTATTTTTTTAAGTTTACTTTGAGAGAGAGAAGTGGGGGGGGGAGGGGCAGAGAGGGAGAGTGAGCATCCCAAGCAGGCTCCGCGCTGTCAGAGCAAAGCCCTGCAACGGGCCTCGAACCCCCGAAGCCTGAGATGGAGGCCTGAGCCCGTCAGGTGCTTAACCCACTGAGCTACGCAGGTGCCCCTGGTTCTTTTAAAAATTAAATAAAATTGATGCTTCTGCTGAGCACCGAGCATAGAAGTGTTCAGTCACTGTACTGTGTCCCTGAAACTAACAGAACACTGTACTAACTGTGCTGGGATTAAAATAAAAACTTGATTAAGAAACTTAAAATACTTCGGGGCGCCTGGGTGGCTCAGTCGGTTGGGTGACCGACTCCGACTCCGGTCACGATCTCGCGGTTGGTGAGTTCGGGCCCCCGAGTCTGGCTCTGACAGCGCGGAGCCTGGATCCTGCTTCGGATTCTGTGTCTCCTCTCTCTGCCCCTCCCCCACTTGTGCGCTCACTCTGTCTCTCAAAAATCAATAACTGTAAAAAAAAAAAATTCTTTTAAATAAAAAATATTAAGAAACAAGTTAAATCAAATTGAATGAAACGTGTGTGGTGGGGGTGGTTCTGGTTTCCGACCGCGGCCACGTGACCTTGGCAACATCACCAGCCCCTCCCCGAGTCTCAGTTTCCTCATCTGTAAGATGGGGTTGGCAGGAGCCGCTGCCTGCTAGCATCGCAGGAAGGAGTAAACGGGTTTGTCTGTGACAACATCCCGGCGCATAATTGCGCAAAGAGCTGTGTGGTTACAGGGCGCCTGCTGTCTGCACGCTCATTTATGCATCTGAGGCACAGATGAATTGGGAAAGCTTTCAAGTCTTTTCTTGAACGTGTCTTAGGGGACAAAGCATAGCGAGCCTCCCCTCCCCCACTACGACATGTGAGTTTACAGATGTTCGTACCGAAAATGACCCCGAGTTTTAAAATAAAGACGAGTTTGTTACAATTTGTTACTGAGATGAAATTCACCATTCCAAAGAGTACATACGGTTCAGTGGCTTTCACTATAGTCACAAGGTTGCGCAACCATCACCGCGATCCAATTCCAGAAATAAAAAAGGGAGGTGGGGGGTAATCTTAAAGCCTGTTTGAAGAAAAATACTCAATGACTCGAGAAATAGAAAAGACCTTCAGGAAGAGGGCAGATGGCCAGCAAAGAACCTGCGGGACAGGAGACAGGTGAGCAAGGGGGATGGGCGGGCTGATGCCAGAGCACGTCAGATCCCACGTGACAAAGGGGCTCCGACACAGCGACCCGCAAGGGATGGGGCGGGCAGGTGGCGCCAGGCTGGCCTGCCAACCTCCAGTGCCCAGGTCCCCGCAGAGGAGGGGCGTGGGGTTCGCAGGGCGGGGACAGGCAGAGAGCCCGATAAGAGGTCTGAGGGGCCCCCCGGGGAGCGTCAGGGAAGACAGGAGATGGGGCCAGCCCCCCACCCCCCACCCCCAGAGGTCAGGAAGCTCCTTTTCTTGGGAAGAGTACAATTTTTTTTCTTAACTTCCCTTGGAAATTGGAAACCCTGGGCACCTCCCAGGGCTATAAAAAGGCCAGAGCCACTGACCAAGTTAAAAATAAAAGGTCCGCGCCCGGAGGCACTGGGGGTGGGAGGGGGCACTGTGCGGGTCAGGCTGGGGTGACTTAAAGCAGGTGTCTGCCCTCTCTGGGCTCTGGTCCCCAACAGCCTTAGACGGAACAATTTCCAAAGGCCCAGTTAATGAGGATGTTTATACAGCTGCTATTGTTATTTACGGAGGCGATAAGCGAGGAAAGGGGCGTGGCGGCATGACCTGAACTTGGCACTCTCTGGGGTCTCTGGGGCCTCTCTTCAGGAGGAATGCTCTTCGGTTCCAGGCAGGGGAGAACCCGGAATCACTGTCCCACGGCGACCCCTGGTGGCGCAGAAGGCTCACTGCAGCGCTTTCTGGATTTCACCCTCCCCCCCCCCCCCCCCCCCCCCATAAACGCAGGATCCTGTTCTGGGGGGAAGGGGGCGCCACATACAGGACACAGGTTCTGTACTCAGGTCGACCACACTGGCTCCTCCCCATCCTTCGGAGTCTTTGCACGGACTGCACCCTCCGCCTGCAGTAGCCTTTCCTTCTTGGAATGCCTCCTCCAGGAAGCCTCCCATGACCGCCCCCCACCCCAAAGCCCCCACAGTGGCCTCTGCGTCCCCCGTCACACCCAGGACCACCCCGGCTGCAACCACCTAGTGGCGCGTCTGTCTTCCCCACAGGGCTGTGAGCCCCGTGGGGAACATGGAACAAAGAGATTGGTCGAAAGAGAGAAAGGTTGGCACATTCGTTCAAATTCACGTATTGAGCCTCTGCTGTGTGCCAGCTACTGGGGTCCAGCAGGGAACTCACCAGATAAAATTCCCATCCTCATGAGGAAGGCAGATGATAAACCAGGTGTTCAATGAATAAGTGACATTATTACTATTATTAGTCTAAAAACGCCGAGCATTAGGGAACAATAGAGCAGTGTGGGGGAGGATGGGAGGATCTGGTGGATGTGGTTGTAAATTATTTTAAATGGGAGGCTCAGAGAAGCTTGCCCTGAGAGGGTGGCAT